ATCTAATTTAACAATTATAATTAATACAAATGAGTATAATAATAAAACATAAATAATTCTTATTAGAGATCTGCAATAGTGGGAAAATCGGGTTCTGGGTGGGGCCAAATATTTTTTAAAAAATTCGGGCCGGGTTGGGTCAGGCCTTGATGATTTTTTTAAATATATCTAAATATATCAATTTTATGTTACATTTTTTATGTAAAATAAAAATATTTGATTTTATTTATAAAAACTAGACGCCATTAACATATATCTTTTATTTTGAGTAATTATAAAAATGAATTTCTATATTTAAATAAATTCGGGCCAGGCCGACAAAACTTTATAAAAAATATTTTGGGTTCGGGCCGGCAAAACTTTTTAAAAATAATTTCGGGCCAGGCCGGGCTTGAAAAATTAGGCCGGATGCAGATCACTGATTCTTATTGCAAATGCAATATTTTTATTAAAAATAGTATAATATATAAATATTATGACTAAAAATTCATTATAATTACGTTTTGAATATAAAAATTTTATTACTAAGAACATATTATAATAATATAGCAATTTTATTATTTTAATTTATAAAAAGAGGTCTACTTTTCTCTAAGATTTGACGAATTCATCTAAAATCAAATTTTTATCTAGAATATTATCATTATAAATATTAATATTGCGAATCCCACCGGTGCTATTTCTTAAATCGGTTTTTAACTTTTCAAAGTTGAAAAAGATTTTCATTAGTGCAGGTGCTAATCGGTAAGGTAGCTAAAATAAAAAGCAATGTTTTGATATTAGGCAGGGAATCTAAAGTGCAATTACACATGGAAAGGGCCTGCAAAGCATTTTTTGGTCTCAAAGAGTATTCTGTCAAATTTATATCAAAATTCGACATCACAAAGTAACTTATCATACGATTCTGTCAGAATAAAACTCTGAGATTTCTTAATATCCTCTCGCGTTTAAAGTGTATTCAGACTCAACCGACAAAAGAAAATAAAAGCTGTTTAAAATAAAATTGTGGCTAATAAATCTTTCCTTTAGTTAAAATAAAAATGTAAATAAGGGGAGTAAAAATATTTATTTTATAAAAATCCTCAATCGTAGATACATCAATATTTAAGCGAATGGACTATCTAGAAACTATTCAAAGTTTAAAATTTTTAATCTCAAACATATTAGCGATTATCTTTACTTTCTAATTACATTTACCAAATTAATTGATTTTTCTTTTTAAAAATTATAAAAAATTAATTAAAATTTTTAAAACTATCTAGTTAGTTTAACAATATAAATTTTATTATTAAATTTATAAAGATCTAATTTAATTATGCCAGAAAAAATTTACAATATATTTTTATTGTTATTTCATATTTTATATATAATTTTTAATATATATTTTTAAACCATGTTATCATTTAAAATTGAAAATTTTTATTTGTTTTTTTTTAAATATATTTCATTTTGATATTGTATATAAATTTATTTATAAATTATTGAAACTGTTCAATTGTTCGCAATAAGAAAAAACTTTACGCCACTGAATGGCATAAATGTGCATTTATAATAGAGAGTAAATACTCAATTAACAATTGATAGCCTTTTTGGTATTGATCCCAAAAAAACTCAATGTGCCAAATTAAAAAAAGAGTGTAATAAAATGCTTAACATGTTTTATGGATTTAACACGTTGATTAATGCAGAGAAGATCAACAGATATATGAATGGGCAAAAATCTATAAATACCAACTTATTATTAATTAAAAAATAATAAAGTAAATATATATCTTTTAAAATTATTATTAAATTATGAATATTTTTTTCTTACAAAAATACTGAGGCAGATACGTTTTTAGATTTCTCTCTATGGAAGCCTGACAATGCGTTTTCTGATGCTAACCTTGAAGTTGACGAACTTCAAAAATACCTAGATGCTAAATTATATATTGAAAATGATAATATTTTAAATTGGTGGAAGGCAAACCATAATGACTTTCCAAATTTAGGTATTTTGGTTCCTAAATTCCTAGCTTTCCCTGCTTCGTCGGCTAGTAGTGAAAGAGCGTTTTCAGCTGCTGGTAGGGCGTTTGAAGAGAGAAGGACTCGTTTAAAGCCAGATAAACTGGACCTCTCATTATTTATATATCATAATTATTACTTTTGATATTGATATATCATTTTAATATGTTCATTATTATATTTTTTAGTCTCTGTATTAACTATTATATCATATATTCGACATAAATCATTTTTATTGTTTTTATATAATAGCAATAATTTTTAAATTCTATTGTATTTTAACTTTTTTATAATATTTTTACAAATTAAATAAAATGCAACTTAATAGAGACCTGCAGACCTGGTCCTATTGCCCGGGTAACAGGCCAGGCTGTATTTTAAATTATTTAAATATAGCCGGCCGGGCCTAAAAATTTTTAAAAAATACCCGGGCCGTAGTGTTTGCAGTGGTCCGGTCCAGTTCGGTCTCATTCGACTCTTGGGTCTGATGGGAAGGTCTGGTCCGACAACACGGTCCGATGTAAAGTATATAAAAGTTTACTATGAATTGCTTTTTAGTTAATGTACTGTACATGAGCACATAAAATATGAATATTTAAGGCCTAACACATTATAATATCTCATCCATCATTTACTTTTTATATTCTTCCGTTTCATTCAATTCATTTTTCAAATAATTTAATTTAGTAGGGTAGGTAGTATTATATTTTTATTTTTAAAAATTGAAATCATAGAAGTTGATAATACTATTAAATCACCACCCTCTTCAGGTGGTGAAAAAATGACTATTGATGTAGAAAAAAATCGATCAAATTCATATTTGAAAGATGTTAAGTAATTATATAAGTTTTTAAAAAGGATAATTCTGAGAAAACATGTAAAATATGTCTACAGATATTTTCCAATTCTTTAAGCACAAGTAAATTATGCATGTATATCAAAATAAGAGCTCAAAAAGGGAGAGAATAGCCAGAGATAGGCTCATGGGAACTGGGACATAAGAGAAACATGGAAATAACCGGACATCTTGGCCTTTATGGCTTCGATGTCCCAAGGCCTTTATTGTTAATCAAAAATTTACAGTATAAGCAATAGAAAATAAACAATGGTTATAATTAACGTAATAATCAGTATTTATGTAAATAAATATTAAGGGATGAATCGTTCTTAGTTAATTTGTTTATTATCGTGAATTTTTGATTGACGGTGTTAGGCCAATTCTTGGGAACCAATAGAAAGCTGATCCCAGTTGTACGAAATAGATGTTGCGCCATCTTCACGTGTTGATATTCCGGAAATAAGCGACGGCGTGTCTTGGCAAGATTGAGGCCCGAACAGGGATTCGTCGTCCTGTTGCAGTAGGATGGCCCCTTTAAGTATGGGGCCCTCAAAGAGTTCAAGATGTCTTCTCGGCGCCATCCAAGTTCTTGATGGAAGGTCGGCAGGATTATCCTCCGTTGGGATCCATTGTATGTTTTGTGAGATGGCGGTAAAGTTCGGTAGCCCCAGCTTGATCATGATTTGAGTGATGATGATTTCTAGCGATGGTGATCGTGACCCTCCTTTTCTGAAGGTATAGTAGGCTACCGAAGAGTCCGTGAAGATCATAGGGTGTTCGTTGTTTCGGTGTATTGCCATGATTGCCCCCATTCCGACTGCTAGGATTTCTTTACCATTAATGTGAGAAATCGCATGGATTGGGATGTTGAATAGGAGGCATGCCTCGCTGTATGCTACCGAGAGGTTGTCGGTCTCCCAAAAGTTAATACCCATGTGGAAGTTGGATGCGTCGACATATACCGGTGAGTTCGCGTAGTAGTGCAGAGGCAAGGGGGTGGCCAGGGCGTCGATGATGAGACGTGCTTTGGTGAAGGCCAGGAAGGTGTCCACTACAGGGGTCAGCTGTCCGCTGTTCATCGTAACGTAGTAGAGGAGAAAAATCTCGACATACCGGTTATGGTGTAGGCGTAATGGTTGACGACCCCTAAGACTCTGGCTGCCAGTTCTACCCCTATATCGAGATGCTGGTAGGAGTGTCGCCGGAAAACCTCCAGGCATTTGTGGAGTCTTCTTCTCGTACCAGTATCTGCAGAAACTGTTTTGTTGGCTAGATCGATGGGGACCCCTAAGTAGGTAATTTGGGGTGTCGGGTGTACCGATTTCTCTGGTGCTATTTGCAATCCCCATCCTTCGAGAGTGCAGCGTAATGATCGTGTAGACCATTTGACGTCGTTCTCGTTGGGCCCGTATATTAAAATGTCATCAAGGTATACGTTGTAGTTGGCCTTTTTGACAGTCTTGGCGCAGGCATCCAGGATGATTGACTGGAGGCAGTAGGGGCTAAAGGATGCGCCCATGGGTAGCACCTTGTATCGGAAGTTGTTGTTGCCGAACTTGAAGCCGAAGAATTTCCTCACACCGCTTGCGAGAGGGATGGAGAAGAAAGCTGATCTAATATCGATTTTGCAGGCATAGGATGCCTGGTCGAGCTTGTCTGACATAAGTGGAATCGACTTCAGGCGGAAGGGATAGTGCAGGAAGTTTTTAGATACTTCGGAGAAGTCGCTAATGACTCGTGGTGCACCATTTCCTTTAGGGATCACAAATAGAGGTGAGCAAATTTGGTCCTCGTCAGCTGGCTCGATGACATCGGCAATGATTAGTTGTCTGACAATGTCGTGGTATTTGTTATCCACGCCCGCGCGGATATTGTGTTTAGGGCGGAACCCTCTTTCAGCGACTCTTTTAGTGAAGGGCGACATAAGTGGTCCTACAGTGAGTCTAGCGTTGCTGATATTGAGGCTAGGGCGGGCAGCGAGCTGTTCGTCAGAGAAGGTGCTTCTAGGACCCCCGACAACGATACCATTGAGCAGGGGCGGACTGGCGACAATACGGCCTCGTGGGCATTTTTTTATAGCGATGCAAATATCGCACATTCAAAATAAGCTCTCTATTCGCAGAAAATTGTTCCGGCAAACTGTTTATAATTTGATCAATTATAGGACGAAATACTTCAACCCTATAAAGGTCAATCGATTCTTGAGGACGTTTATCCTGGCCTTCATCACTATATATTTGCTCGTCCTATTCGAATTTTTGGTAGAGCAGTCTGTACACAGATACTCTCCGTAAGCTTTAAATATGAAAGTGTATCATTTAAATCAGAAGCCATTTTTATTGCTTTATTTTGAATTGATGTAATAGTTATCGATGACACAGAAGACTTAGCATCTTCTATCATCTTCTATGCCGACAAAATATTTAAATTTTTGATTGAAGATACAATGACAATGGCTCCATTATTTCAAAAATTTCTAAATATATTACAGCTGTACTAAGAGTCTTAAATTAACATAAACTAGTAGATAGCCCGTCAAAAATGACGGAGAATGAGAATTTTATTCGTTTTTTTAAGAAAGATGTTACCTTTTATTTAAAAATCATATCCAATTTATATAATTTTTAAACCCCCCCCTCCCCATTTATGTCAAGTCCAAGCAATGTCATTGAGTGCAACCCATTAGGACTAAGAGTGGAAACTATTATTTGAGTCAAAATATATTTAAATGAGCTTGTACCCAATACCAAAATTCTTTGTAAATATATGACTGGTTACATAAGACTAACATTTAACATTCAAAAATTTCAAGCCAGGTCCAAGCTCATAATATTTGGAAAAAATTTCCACGCGTTCAAGACCTTATAATTTATAAAAAAAATTCTCAAGCCAGCTCAACCCATAATAATTTTGAAAATTGTTTCCGAAGCCCGGCCCATAATAATTTGTATAAGATATTCCCAAGTCAGGTGCAAGCAAATATTAATCTTGAGGAATATTTTTCAAGCCCAGTCCATCCCATATTAAGTTTCAAACTATTTCCCAAACCCGGAGATAGTTAAATTTCTAAATAATTTATCAACACATGAAGGTGAAATCTCGGATTTACCAATTAGTGGGTTAACTCCTTTTATCAAAAAATTTGATAAGGGCTATCTATATCTTTTGTTAAGTACAAAAAAATGCTATTTATTTAAATTACAAAAATGCCATTCAATACTAATGAAACTTATATGCAATTTATTTATATATTTTTTAAGAAATTTGTTTTTCTTGCCATATAAATTTAGGTAATTTTTTTAAAAAATGATGAGGAATAATTATTACTCTGTGTGTCTGGTAAAATTAAGAGCAAATCCTTTCAGTCGTCTGCAGAAGGAAAAATTAATGTATAATATCATCCCATTTAGGGTTGTTAATGACGGATTACCAAAGCAGTGTACAACACCCATTGCGTCCTGATAAAGCTGAGGCCCTGGGCTACTGGTAAAAGAAGAACGCAAAATGATATTTCTGCCAAAGTGTCAGTTTTGGTATCCCCCTCTAAAATAGAATCATGAACGACATTGTCAACTCAACCATAAAACGGTCGTAAGTATTGTTATAAAGGCCATGACAAACTACCGCATATTTTCCCATTAATAATGTTAATGAAATTGGCCGCACTACACATTCACGTTTGAACATCTCTCTAAATATTCATGAAAGTTCCTCAGGGAATCGGATAAAGTATTATTTATAATAACTCCTAATGAGGTAAATGATAGTGGAATTAAATGCTTTTATTTGTTAAAAATTAGGCAGAGGTGGCATAGGGATTGTGGTAGTTGTGATAGAAATATCATTTGGAGGCAACTGGGTGTATAAAATAAACATATAGATATAAAAAATTAGATAAAAAACAAAATAAACCTCCAGAGGAGTTCACAGAGCCTTATTATCTTGGCCACCAGTAACTCTAGAACGGGTAAGGTGGTTGTTGAATCGCCATTTTTTTTCTTTGCTTATCTTTAATAAAAGATTCATCATGTTTGGTAGCAATGTGAGGGATTAGGGTTAGCCTAGACAAATAAAGAAATCAGGCAAAAATATAAATATACTATTGTTGAAATTAAACAAACATTAAAATAATGTAAAACCGGTTGAAGGGTCAATATTAGATGCATATTTCTAATAAGTTGGAGGGCTATCATCAAATAAAATTTTTGGGGGACTAATCAAGTCTATTATGATATTCTAAAAGTTAAAAAATAACATGATAAATGTAATGATCCAAGCATCCAAGATCTTAATATTTAAAAAGATTTTCTCAAGCCCACCTTCCCTAATAATTTTGAAACCAAGCCCAAAATTTATAATTAATGAAGAGGAAATCTCTAATTTACCAATTATTCTACAGGTAAAATATATTACTTTATAAAAATAATAACATAAGACTAACATTTAACATTAAAAAATCGAAAAATTATACTTGATAAATAAGAGAATGTTCTATTTTGTAGGTCCTCGCTATCCCTAGTGCGTTTCTTTTTTTGATTGATCTGCCATCTTTTTCTTTTATTAATGACGGAATCACCACCTGTACTACAATCATTAACTGAGGTTAGGACATGGCTTGTTATCTAAAATAGAAACAAAAGAATAAATAAAAAAAATAAATGCATTGAACTTGATGAGGAGTCAATATACCACCTGTACAATCATTAAATATGGGTAAGACAGGGCTTGTTATCTAAAATAAAAACAAAGAATAATATAAAGAATATAAATGCAATGAACCTGAAGAGGAGTCAATATTAGGTTCAACTCCCTAGAAATAGTTGGGACATTATCAGAAGCTAAAATAGATGTATTCTATAATATAAAAGAGTATAAAAAAAAATATATATATAAGGCTAACTTTATTTTGAGTTGTATTTTATTGGGCTTCATGTCTAAAAATATTTTCTATAAAAAAAATAAAATAAAATCAATAAAAAAATAAAAAAATAAAAATAAAAATAAGTACGTACCGATGACATGACGTGGCGATGACATGACGTAGCGATGACATGACGTAGCGATGACATGACGTAGCGATGACGTAGTGAGGACATCGGAAAATTATAATATAGATTATCTATCAACGACTGCGCTTCTGATGAGGTTTTTGCCTCAAATGATTTATTATCTATTATAACTCGAAGTGCACTTATCGTTATTAAAAGTAAGCTCTCTTTGCCATATATCCATTTAAGGGATTTTTCACGTGCCCACCACCTTGTCTCACCTATTTTTTGCAGCCTTCTTAATTTATTTTGGCCAGTTGAGTTATTCTGTTTCACCCAAGCGTCCATCCTTTTATATGATTCACCAAAGAAAGTTGCTAGTCTGTTCAATAATCCAAATAAAATTTTGCCTTCAATATTATCGCATGAATCACATATATAGAGATTTAATATGTGACTATAACACCAAATATACAAGCTACCTGGAGCCTCTTGTCTAATAAGAGCTTGCAATCCAACAAATTCCCCCCGCATATTTGCAGCACCATCAAATGATTCTCCAATTATATTTCTCATTTGAATTCCATGTTTTAAAAAGCATTCACTCAAGATATCAAAAAATCCTTTTCCAGAAGAGTTCGTAACTTTTGTAAGTGTAAAAAGCCTTTCTGTTATTTTACCATTATATATGTATCGTAGGCAAATGGTTGCTTGATCATAAACGCAAATGTCTTGAGTACTATCCATTTGCAAACTAAACCGTTTGTTACCAATCTCCTTTTTTATTAAATTCCTGATTTGATCAAGAACAGCATCAATAACTTTGTTGACAGTTGTTTTTGACAACAAGGTTATGAGAGAACCTCTTCCCTTCGATTTTGATTTGTTAGACAGTTTAAGCGTATCTTTTCTACGTTTGCTTTTTAAAATAGCCTTCTCTAAATGATCTCTAAGTATTTGATCATTCTTTGATATAATACGGATCATTTCCAGGAAATTGCCATGATTTAAATTTTCATTATCAAAGAGGCTAAGTGTTTCGGTAGCATTTGATCCTCTGTATGGTAAGTTTTGTTTACCTAAAAACTTTATTATCTCAAATATTTGTTTTATTATGTGGATATTGTTATGAATTTGTCGATTTTTTTCATTTAATATTTTAACGCTAATTGAATTATTAAATGACTAGTTTTTTGAAGCTCTGAGGTAGGCCTCGACAGCACTAATATGCACTTATGAATTTTCATGAATGCATGTGGCGAAAATTTGTAGAGCCTGTTGTGAAATTGTTTGCAAATGCCAGTGAGCAGTACACAGCTTGGGCTTTATTGCATATAATTTTTATGGTAATCCATTTTCTAGGTATTTTTTCACTCATTACCATTCGATAATATAATTTATCATATTTAATGTTTATTGGTTGTATAGGATATTGCATTAAAATCTAAGTTTTTGAGGTATAGTGGCTGTTAATTGCAACTTAAAATTTTCATGTGTATGCATATTCAATTCTGATAATCCACTTTGAGAAATATCTGAAGGCATTATTGATGTAGTTGCTTCTGACAAGTGTGAGGATAATGGCAATGATTGAACTGATGCCATAATACATGAAGATGCTGCAGATAAGGTAGTTGTTTCAGGTAGTGGTGAATGGGAGGCAGTTGTTGATATCTCTAAAAAATAGTTTATTTACATGAAGTAATAGTATTTGAAATACTTGGTATTGATTTATCAAAAAAAGATAATTTAAGTTGTTTTGGATCAGCACCAGCTGCTTTGAGACCAGCAGCATTTTTTTTCTTAATTTTTCAGCTCCACCTTTAAATTTCCTTTTGGCATTTCTATGCATTTATGAAAATATATCAATTCAACTAAAATAAAACTTATTATAATTTTTTTTAAAGAATTGTATTTTAATATAAAGCATAAAGTAATCTGTTATGTTACCGGCCAGTAATAATAAAAAAAAACATTACTATCTTTGGGTTATGAAATATAAATAAGTTTTTTAAAAATATATCAATTCAACTAAAATAAAATTTATTATAATTTTTTTTAAAGAATTGTATTTTAATATAAAGCATAAAGTAATCTGTTACGTTACCAGCCAGTAATAATAATAAAAAAACATTACTATCTTTGGGTTATGAAATATAAATAAGTTTTTTACTTTTGACTATTTACACACATATCAATTTACGTGTAAAAATAGTATATAAAGTTGATTCTTTTCTTATATTATGTTTGTTTGTTTGTCTGCTAATGATCAGTAAATTGTTGTAATACAAATATTAGGCGCACAAAAGTTTCCTCTACAATAAATTAATGTATAAAAATATAATATAATAAATTATTGAAAACTTAGCTTTCACTCTACTCAAGCCCAAGCTCAAAAGGATCAATGAATTAAGAACAAGATAGTTTCCTATATTACAATAAATTAATGTATAAAAATATAATATAAATTAATGAAAACTTAGCTTTCACTCTACTCAAGCCCAAGCCCAAGCTCAAAAGGATCAATGAATTAAGAACAAGATAGTTTCCTATATACAATAAATTAATGTATAAAAATATAATATAAATTAAAGAAAACTTAGCTTTAACTCTACTTAAGCCCAAGCATAAAAGGATCAATGAAATACAATCAATCACAATAGTTTCCTATATACAATAAATTAATGTATAAAAATTAATATAATAGATTAATGAAAACTTAGCTTTCACTCTACTCAAGCCCAAGCTCAAAAGGATCAATGAATTAAGAACAAGATAGTTTCCTATATTACAATAAATTAATGTATAAAAATATAATATAAATTAATGAAAACTTAGCTTTAACTCTACTTAAGCCCAAGCATAAAAGGATCAATGAAATACAATCAATCACAATAGTTTCCTATATACAATAAATTAATGTATAAAAATTAAATAAATAAATGAAAACTTAGCTTTCACTCTACTCAAGCCCAAGCTCAAAAGGATCAATGAATTAAGTAGAAGAAATACAATCAATCACTATAGTTTCCTATATACAATAAATTAATGTATAAAAATTAATATAATAAATTAATCAAAACTTAGCTTTCACTCTACTCAAACTCAAACATAAGCGTTTTCACTTCCTTTGAAAAAAAAACGAAAAGCACGTGGTAAATGATATATAGCGTCAAGCGACGTAATTGATATTTTATGCATTCAAATATAGTAAACGACATGATAATTATTCTCAGGGAATGTTATATTCAAATAATAGATATCATTAAAAATAAATAAATGATAAGAGAAAATAATGTGAACAAAATAATGTTTTTTTTTCCTACCGGCCTCTTTTTTGATATTTTCCTCTCATCGGCCTCAAAATCGACATTTTCTCGCGGCCTCGTGGGCAAAATGCCCACTGGATCTTATGGCCAGTCCGCCCCTGCCATTGAGGATACCGGGTATGTTGGGTGTATTAGATGCTCCCCCCTGGGGCATACCAGGTTCATCGTCGGTGCTGTAGACAGAGTCTTGTAGTTCCGTGATGATTGACTGAGCTTCGCTATTGTCCGCAGAACTACTCGAAGGTAGTGAGTCAGAGAGGGGACTTGGTGTCCACCATTCGGGTATGCCAAAGTCTTCTGATAAGAAGGAAGGGATATCCGATACTGACTGTGGGCTAACTCCGGGGTTGTTGCACGCAGGGGTATGATTGTTCTCTATCGCGGAATCCGGTGCGTCACTGTCCCCGTCAGTGTCTCTCGGCGAAAACATCTGATGCCTCAGCTCCCTAAGAAATTTATTTACCGTAGTTAGCCGGCTAGGGGGCTGCGATGTTTCCGTCCTTCGAGCCGGTGGGCCGTTGCTCGGACCGATAACCCCTGGTTGTACCGGTGGGTTGATAGTTGAAGGAGGTAGAAGAGATAGAGGAAGAGAAGAGGGAGATGATAGTAGGGGTTTCGGAGGTACGACGAGTTCGCTACTTCCTTTTCTTACCCCTGGCGGGGGCCGCGTCCTTCCTTTCAGGGCGTTTTCGATAACTGGAGGTGGAGGGGCCTGCACGGCCCCTGTCTCGAAAGGGCGCAGGGTCCTGATAGACAGTAATGTTTTCCCCGCATAAGAATTTTTCTTGGTATGAAGCATCGTTATTCCTCGCGGTCTTCCAATTCCAATGAATGGCCAGTGCCAAAACTCGAATCCTTTTTGCTTGAATTTTTAGCATCCTAATGTCGGATTCCGGCGGCAGAATTTCCAACACTTCAGCGATATGTTTAATCTCATGACGGTCTCTGTCATTAGCCTTGCATCTCGGCTCGAGGAGATCCTGCTGGAGGCCTGCCCAAACTTTCATTAGTCTATCGTAGGCTTCGGCGGATGTCGCTGGTGGTTCAAGTTGTACCGGGGGCAACGTTGGCGGTGCGCCTGGTGTGGCTGGCGGTGGAGGTGCTTCCGTGGTTTGTGTACCGGTCACTTGCGGGCCCCTTTCTTTGGGGGTAGACGTGTGTCTGGGTGACGGGGTACGTTGTCGCTGTCGGTCCTGATTCACTTGCGTGGATAAGGCTGCCATACGCTCGGATATGGCATTCATAGCCGCAATAATGGCGCGGGTACTAGGATCGACGGGGGCGGTATCCATTGAATTATCCGGCGTAAGAACGAGATTAGTGCCGTCTAAGTTCGGAGGTTGCCCTAGCGGTAGGTTAGCGGTGTCAAGAGGTGGTCTATTTCCCACAAAAGTTCCTTGAGTAATACGTGGTCTAACCATAATTTCGGATTAAAGGTTGATACGAATAAAATTTACAGTATAAGCAATAGAAAATAAACAATAATTTTTTTAGTTATTTTTATATATTTTTAATTGATGTTTATTTATGTTATTTTAGAATGATTTAAATTATATTTAATAAATTAATTAATATTTAAATAGTTATTTTTATTAAATAAATTATAGTCTTTTTATGTAAGTTTTTTTATAATCAAAACTAACCGCAAGGTCTATAAGTCGAAAGGCTGCATTGATACGAAAGGCTAAAAAATAATATTGAAAATAAAAAATAACAAAGAAAATGATTTAGAGAATTTTGATTGATTTATTGCTTTCTTTATGAGAAAAATATTATATTAACAACATTATAATATACATGTCGTATTAAGATATGGAATCATGTGGGATTCGGAATCCCAACGTATTGAATCCCCACGTTTTATTCGGGATTTTTTTATTCCGAATCCCCAAGAAAAAAATCTTCCGAATCCCCATGAAAAAAAAAAATTACTTTTTCTTCTCTTTTTTTGTGGCTGGCACCTTATAATTAAAAGGCCAAAATAAGGGATTTAAAAAGAGAATTTAAAAAAAAGTAAATAGTATAAAATTAAGGCATATAATAAATGAAAAGGGATGAGGTTAAGACATTTTTGTTTTAAAAAATATTAAAATATATTACTTTTTCTTCTCTTTTATGCGGCGGGCACCATTTAATTAAAAGGCCAAAATAAGGGATTTAAAAAGAGAATTTAAAAAAAAGTAAATAGTATAAAATTAAGGCATATAATGAAAGACTTTTTTTTAAAAAAAAATATTAAAAAATATATTTATAAAAAATCCGAATTATTGCAACAATTATTCAATGCAAGACATTTCGTTGAACATTTAAGCAGGGACCCGTTGTTATTTCTAAAGGTTCAGTTTGGTTACGGTTCAGTATGTAAAAAATTTTAATAGGTTACTTTTTGGTTACGGTTCTTGAGAAGAAATTTATAAAAGTTCGGTTCGGTAAGGTTTATAAAGGTTCATTACGGTTAGAAATTTTTTTTTATTGAAGCAACACCATCTTCTAATTTATTTTTATTATAAGCATCTATGAATTATATATAAAAAAAATATATAAGATTCAAAATAACTCATTTTTAAATATATTATTTGAACTTATAAATAATATATTTTCAAGTATAAATTTATTCCTTTTTGTTCTTTGTGACGATAACACAAATTTTAGCCCCGAAAAAGCCCTTTCTACAGAAACTTGTGTTGCGGGAACCGCCAGTACTATAAGAGCACGTTTATATAATTCTGGATATTCAAATTATTTCCATTTCTAAAATATAAAAACTGACCGGTTTAACCGTTTTTTATAAAGGTTCTTTTTGCTCCTACAAAAAATAATTATATCGGTTAGGTTACGGTTATGGTTGAGATATTTATAACAAAAATAAATTTTTTTTAAAAAAATATTTAAGGGGATTCGGAATCTTTTTTTAAAAAAACAATTAAATTATATTTTTTGCCGCCTGGCTGGCACTAGAAAATTTTATTTTTTAGAGATATTTAATACGGTTTGACTAAACTGCGTGCGAATGCTAAGGTAAACTGCGAATGCTTAGGTAAATATTTTTATATATTATCTTTTATTTGTAGTGAGATCCATTTTCATATGATATAAATAACTTATAAAAAATTAAATTTTTAGATATATTCAATAATAAAGAAATTCGATTATCGCGAAAAGATATTTTAGCGAATGCATCATAGCGAAAACACTATTGCGAATGCATTACAGCGAATGTATGACCGCGAATGCATTTTTGCGAATGCATCATAGCGAATGTATTAGAGCGAAGACATTATCGCGAATGCATTTTCACGAATGCATTTTCGCGAATGCATTATCACGTATGCATTATCGCGAATGCATCATAGCGAAAACAGTATCGCGAATGCATTATAGCCAATGCATTATCGCGAATATAATATTACGAATGCATTACCGCGAATGCATTATAGCGAATATGATACAGCGAAAATATTAAAGCGAATGCATTAGCGCTAATATAATACCGCGAAAGACTGAATTTATGACAATAAATTAATATTAAATGCTTCATGTGATTTTACAACTGATTAAAAAATAATTTAAATTTATTTTTTTAAATCCTCTCAGGTTTTGTAAAAAAAATATTTAAGCCTGGTGTACCATTTGAAACCGTTGTTTAATATTGACTGCTGTCATTCTACTAAGGGCAGTTATTTAATAACATGTGCAACCATTATAAAACGACTGCTGCCATAATTTTTTTGAATTTAAAACCATTTGTGATACACTATTTCATTTGAAAATCGATGTTTTAAAATAATTGGGATAAAATTGATATTTTGATTGATAATAATATCCATTTCTCACTTCAAAAACATTGACGGCCATTTTCTATAAAAATTAATGTTTGAAAATAAATTGGGTTAGTATGACTACAAATAATATAGATTGCTAATAAATTAAGTTCTCACTTCAAAAATATTGGTGTATTTAAATAATAATTAGTGTTTTGTAACTAAAATGACTGCGATTAATGCCAGGAAATTTCAGAAGCAATATATCCTATTCCTCCTTCTATTTGACCTTATTTTAAAATATAATTCAATTAATAAAAAAAATAAATCCTTAATATCAAGGTTTCTACACATATTAGAATACAGTTTTCCGTCAATATCAGATTAAAAATTTAACGCGCTCAATTAATTATTTAAAATGCAAAAAATAGAACAAAATACCCATCAAACTATCACCTTACCTTAATTTTGACTACCTTTTTATATATGGATTTTCATTATAAATTGTTAAATACAAATTTTTTTTAGCAAAATCATATGAAATTCTCAGAGTAGATTCTCTTCGGAATAAATTGGGTAAAATCACATTTATCAGGAAAATTAAAAACGCGCATTAAATTAGATCACAGACCCAGCCTTAAACCCGGCTCGGTACACGGACCGGGCTGTATTTTATTTTTTTTAAATATACCCGGGCCCAGCCTAAAAATTTTTTTTAAAAATACAAGGGCCGGGCTATATATTTTATAACCACATATTTTAAATTACCGTTATTATCTATGATATAATATATTTTAAAGAAATTCGAGCCGGGCAGTGCAGTTTAAAATAACTCACAAATCATTAAATATTGATAAAATTTCTAAAAAATTGACGTGAGACTGGCTTAGTTGCTGATAGTTTTTTTTAAACTGGCTACTCTACTAGTTAAAGCAAAGCACTAATAGGAACTGATAAAGAAAGAAACATTTTCATAATTTTAACATTACTACTTCTATTTAATTGTTTAGCATATTTAAAAAAATAACAACCGAAAACTCAAAAATGTTATCATAAATATTCATAAACAGGCCTCGGCCGAGATAATTAAATTTAAAACATAAAAATTTTGTTTAAAAAATATATTTAAAAAAAAGTGCTCTCCAAGTCCCTGCTATAGATCACTTTAAATTCGCCAAATTTTTAAGATATAATTTGTAATGAAAGTTGTCCAAGATTAGCTAAAAAATTATCTATCATAAACAATACAAGGATTTATATTTTGGGACAAGAAAAAATCTTTTTTTATTTTTAAAATTTTATCATATTATTTTATCGCCCAGCTTTGAATAATTTTTTTTAAGATTATTTTATCCATTTTTTTATTCAAGGGTATTCCGAGAATTTATATGACGGCACCTGGCCTATTATTTGTTTTAAACTTAAAGCTATAAGATTTATAAGATGGAAGTCTAATCAATGCAATGTTCCCCTTCATCTTATCTTATTTAAAAATTTGCCTCCAGATATGGCTGGGGGTGGGGAGGGGGGTGGTTATATCTATATGAACCATTTATTTTTTAAAAAATATTTTTGAAAAATTTAAATTATATTATATTTATAGATAAAAAAAAATTTTACTATAATAAAAAGAAAAAATTATCTTCGCGCTGGATAGGATTAATCATATGAATAACTAGAAGCTATTAGAATCAAGGCTAGCTGAATCAATTAAATTATGCTTAAAAACAGAGTTGGGCGGTCCTCCAGAAAAAGAATCTAGATACAGATACAGATTCTTAATAAAAAAATGAATCTTAGATACAGATACTAGTATTTTTTCAAAATATCAAAAAGATACAAGATAAAAGATACTTGTATCTTTTACTAAATTAGAGTATTTTAAATACAAGATACTTTTAAATTATCATTTTAATTAAATTAGAATAGTTTATAAAATACAGTTTTTATTATTTATGAAGAACATAGCATACACATATAAGAATGAATATTTGCAATAATTAATAAAATATTTATTAATGAATTAATTATAATAAAC